ACATGTGACAGGAGTATCACCAGGGAAATAAGCAACTCTTACCTCAGCATCGGAAATAGCAAATATGTAAGAGAGGCCTGTCCATTCTCAGGAAAAGAATTATTTTTTGCAGGCACTTCTTAACATATGCATTACAGAGTATTTATATAGCACACTTTGCAAAAAAATCACTACAGTAACTACGCCAAATCCGTAATTTTGTATTTTCCTAGTTGTTAATTGCATTTTTATACATATGTTAAAAATGAAAAAGAGTGAGAGAGGTTATAAAATAACTTTAGGTTATTTTTATTTACTTCCTTGAATAGTCAACTACTTCGACACTAACTGGAAAACCAAATGCAACTTCCAGGAGATCTTTCATCAGTCTCCCACTGATGATTGCTTTTTCCATTTCTTCAGACAGGTTAATTCTTCCACCTACTAATTTGTCTGTGACCTAAAGAGGCAGTACTTACGTGGGAAACTGCTTTTGTGCATAGGAAGAGAGCCGTATGGGCCCAGCATATCAGCATGACTGCCTTTTGAATGCAGAATATGCACGCAGTGTGTGGAGCTCAGTGGCATTTTAAATTTTCCCACTCAAAATGTCAAACACTGACTGCCTGGTGGGAAGCAAATACAACTTCCAGGGAATGGGGGTAGCACAAAAACAGAGAACTTTTGGTACTTGCAAGGAAACCAATGGCTTCAGACGTGACAATTTTTCTGCGCAAAACATTTTTTTCTACAAAGTTTTTATCTAACACGAAATGAACTGTTTAAACTCCCCAACCCACACTGTCTCTAAGTGCTCACTTTCCAAACGTTAAACTGCTGATGTGTATATTTTATTTGCATGCAAAATTTTACTCAAAAGTAAACAAAACATTTACAACGATAAAAGGACATTCCTGTTGTCCACCCAAATACAATATGGAGCCAAAGCTATAATTTCAAACAGTTACAGAGCTGCATTTGACAAATATTTTCATTATCCTCTGATTACTTTAGCTAACTCAGATTCCTAAAGGAATATTAAAATTATTCTGCATGAACAGTTTTCACTGAAAATAATTATATCATATAAACAAAAATTTATAGTAATAGCTGGTCTGGGAGATACAGAAAGTTAAGGAAAATAACTTCCTAAGTACTGGTTAAAGGTTTGGATAAGCTTCAGCCTCAACAAACGAGGAAGGCCCTCCTCCCCACAAATTACCTACACATCTCCCCCTTACCATGCTGAAACCGCATGTAATTGATGTTCATTTTGCTAAGATACACTCCGTTCATTTTCTTATATAAATCGAAAAATATTTTTGGGTGGTAACAAAAAAGGCAAGTATATTAGATCATCCCAGCTCGTTTCAGACTCACTACGCTGCAAATTTTAACACGTAGCAAGGATGATGCTCACGCTCCTCGGGTTCCTCAGTGTCCCCAGTACCATCACTTCAGCACAGAATCCCATTACAATCACTTGCTTATTTCATCCTATGATTCAGAGAAAATAAGATTCTTCTGTACATCATGATTTCCTAAGCAAGAGGAAAAGTGCAAGAAACTTACAGACTCAGTTGAAAACTGCAAGTCTCTGTTATGGATGATCTCCAATAGAAAAATCCTGTTCCAAATATAACATGTAATTACCATCCAGCCACTTAAAGTACTTATCTATGAATCTGAGGAGGGGTTCTTTGCTTATTTTTATTAAGACTTTTTAATTACTATTTTGGCATCCAAGAATTCCAACAGTTGGTGGGGCACGGCCAAAAGATCTCTTTGCAAGGTGCTCAGCACCCTCCTTTCCAAGAAAATCAGCATTAAACTGCTGGTTCTAGCAACATTTCACATCATGTTTGCCATGATACATTTTTTCCACCCCTCATTTCCTTACACATAAAAATCAGAATAAAAGCCCTGTCTTCAAAGGGTGATCTGAAAACAATAGCTGCATAATATGGTGATACGCAGGAGGACAGGTCCAAAACGTCTATTCTGTATGCCAGATCTCATTTAAGCTGGGGGAGGATGCTACCTACATATATAGTGGGCTTGCAGTAGCAACCCTTTTCTTCTGAGCTACAGGATTTAGAGCAGTCTGAACTCCCCCATGGCAAACACTCGACAGAATTACAGCATCTGGAATGAAGCAAGAACACTGCAGCAGCAGCAGTGGTGTCACTTATCTTTCAAGAACGTATTATTTGTGGATTCACTAGATTTACTTCTAAACCACATAGAGTATGAATGGGCTCCTAAACGATTTTATTAAAAAAAGAAAAAACATGAAGTGAGCACTTTAAAAAAAGAAGGAACCGCTCGTTTTGGAAGACACAGGACATCCTAAAATTCATCCCTGACAGTATAGCATTGCACGTGTGCTTCTTCAGGGAATTGCGCACCGTAAGTGAAATACTGTAACACTGCAGGATTTCTTAGGCAGCTGCTGTATTCAATAAGACGTTCTGCTGTTTCAGTACCACCTCATCCCACTGAAATAGTACAAAAAATACTATCCATCCAAATAAACAGCAGAACAAAGAGCAAAGAAGAAAAGCAGAAGCGAAAGCTTGCTGGGGATCCTTCTCCAGCAGAAAGGCAACTTTCTATTCTTTCTTGGAGGGTCTGCTGTTTCTGCCTTTCCCCCACGTTGTTTTTCTTTACTCTCATTTATTGGCTGTATTTCATAGGTGTGTTTGTAGCCGAGGGAGAGGGAGCGTGTCCGTGTGTGCACGCAGCGTGTTTACCAGAGTTATGGTAGCAGTTCTCAGCAGCCCATCGAGAATTCTAGGAAACGGCCCCTGTTATTTCACTCGGGGTCAATGTCAGCTCATGTCAGGCTGCGGAGATCACCCAGGCCAGCTCGCTCCGCTCCGGCTCCGGCTCCAGCCCTGGCTGGAGGCCTCGAGGGGAGCGAGCGAGCCCGCCGGGCGCTGCGAGGGGGCGGAGTGCCTTCCCAGCACTCTACCAACCACCGCACGCCGCATTATGATAAACACCACGCTGGAAACCAGAGACAACAGTACATTGTGTTCTTCTTCTGAAAAACAACCAGACTTCTGCTCACTTAAAGTAAACAGTTAATCCTGTTTATCTTTTTTTTTTTCCTTCCCTCCTTGATGAGTTGTTAACAGAACAATCTCTTCTGCAAAGCAAATGAGAGGTTCGTCCCTTAAATTCATAGCGATTTTCTCTTTCCTCCAAGGGGAAAAAAAAAATCAAATTCAATATGTAAACTTTCTACAATCGGCAAACAGTGTGGAATAACAATCTTTCTTGGCTTAAACTGACTTAACAAAGCGATGCCAAAACTGAATGAAACCTTTCCCTCACATACTTTATTTTGGAAAACTGAAGTCCGAAACAGAGTGCTCTCCTCATCTCATTTAACTATTCCTCTTCTGACAAGAAAAAGCAAAACCGGTTACAAAAACTGGGCGCTGAGGTGTCCTTGCGGCCTGATTAAGCAGTGCACTGTATGTACAGATCAGCTAATGAGGTTGGGGGCGTTGCCAGTTTTTCCGTGTGAGGGGGAAAAAAGAGAATCAAGCACGTAACTGACTGAAAGTGAAGCAATAAACTATTATTCTCTTTCTCAAAGTATATATATGTGCTCACTGGGCAAACCGATGACGGCCCTGACTTTGCATATTAAGCATGATTAATTAGCAAAGCAGATGGAATTGATTATCTTGTTTTGCTGGAGTCACCACATTCTACCTATTAACTACTTATTCCTGGGCAGCCCAACTAAGTCTACTAAAAGCTACAAGCTTTTCCAAAGGGAATTCTAATTTTTAGCACTGAGGAATTTAAACAGTACTGAAAGTCAATAATGAAAGTGTGCTTAAAATCCCCAGTCAGTAAAAGTTTGTTGATTTAGCTATTTATAATCATAAAAATATATGATTTGCAAAGCTGAAGGAGGAGAAGGAAAATACTCTGGTTCCTTGTTTTATTTTTACTCATCTCACAAGCTCTGAGTCTAAGATTCTGGGTTTTCTATGCAACTAATGTCATCAAGTGCAAAAATGTAAAATCAGGTCTGGGTAGGTAACTGAAGGGGAGGCTGATTTTCAGATAAATTAAGTTTGAAATTTTTCACACATGAAATTTTCATATTTTTAAGCTTTTTTTCCTTGAGATTGAGATCTTAATTAATTTTGCATTTCTTTTTAAAACCTCTGCAACAACTACTGAATTAACTTAGCTCTCCTGATTTCTACAGTGACCAAACAGAACAAAGAAGTCCTATTTCCCATTACAGAAACTGAACTCAGGAGGCAGCAATCAGCAGGCCAGGGCCAGACTCTAGCCTAAAAAACCATTGCACAGGAGCAGCGTAGGGATTATTCTCCCCAGTCTCCCACTTAACCCACTGTGGCCTCCAGCCAAGACTGGAAGAGCGAGTATGCCTCCAGCCAAGACTGGAAGAGCCAGTATCGGTAGGACATGATTGCTGTTGAACACTTCATCTTGCTCCACGAGCACTCTGTCATTTAACTCGCTCCCTCCCAATGCTGTGATCTGTGTAGGAGAAGCAGTCGCTCTCTTAGGACTGCTGGGTTTGGCCCATCAAATTTCTCCCAAATTGACACATGGTCTGCAACCCTTTAGAGGACCTCACGTAGGCCAAGACGATACAGCCGGGAGCAGAGCAGTTATTAGCTGCAGCACCATAGGGGAGAGGCAAAGCTTCTCCTTTAGGAAGCTGGAGGTAGTGTCTACCTCTTGGAGAAACTCCTGTGCACAGGAGGAGAAGCAATAAATCTAAGTAGTTTAGGCTGCAGATACAATCCACGTACAAAGGAAGATTTCCCTGTGATTCTTCCCCCATTTTGACCCCATGCCGGGTGGCCATCATCTCACACCCTATTTCAGGAAGGAACGTCTCAGCTGAAAGGAATGCGGGCAACAGACGAATTGATGGGAGATCACTGGGAGATGAAGCAACAGTAGGAGAAAATGCAGAAGGTGAAGAAAACAAAGATCAGGAGGAAATGTTCTGAAATTACCTCTTTTCCACTTCTTTTCTCACACCTTGCTCTTCTCTCTCTTTCTGGCAGTTAAGAGACTGGGGGAAAATGCCTGTCTGAGGCAACTCTAGTATAATTCTACAAATGAAACATGAGCATTATTGACAGAGAGCATTCTTCCCAGACAGGTTTGGAATTTTTATATCAGAAGTTGCCGCCTGAAAAAAAAAAAAAACTTCTGAAAGGAAAGCGTGGATATCAACAATTTTCTAGTTTGAAAATAAAATATAAAAGATTTTGTTGCACCTTACATGTTCGCATTTGAAAATTTCAAAATGAGAAATCCCATTTTTGCCATTTAGGTTTATAAATTACTTTTAAAGAAACAGCAAGTTTGAGCCATTATCCAAAACTCATTCAAATAAACATCTTTCCATGGATCTCAGTGAGCTTCATTTCATGCTGTAAAGCACACAGAGAAAACACTGGGACACACTGGCAGTATTCCGCCACCTTGATTTCATTCAACTATTTACTTAAATTCCATGTTCCTCTTTTTAAACTCTCTACACTTAACATCAAACAAGGATCAAACACAAACACCAAAATAATTTTATAAACATCACATTTACAGCTTCCCATAATTTCAAGGGATTATTTTTAGCAGGATCAGAATCTGCAGCACAGCACACAATGGATGAAAAAGAATGTTAAGTCCACCATATAGTGCTTTGGATTTTTTTTTTTTTTTTGCATTTAATTAGATAATCTTAAGACATGCATAGAAAACCTCTCATTTCCTTCATCACTTCTGATGCATATAGAGATTTCAAATATTGTGTGTGCTAATGGAAAGGGTCCTAAAATAGAAAATCTATGCTACAGCATCTTTAGCACAATTATCTTATATAGATGATAGTCTTTATTTCTCATGCACATGGCATACGCAACACTTTTATTTAAAGGTGTTAACAAAATGGTCAGTGCTATAAAACAGTTTACCATAAATCAGTGATTACACTGGATTTAAGATAATAACTCTAATCAAATACTGAACAATGAACTGCATGGTATACTTGATTCTGATTTCCTCTTCCTCCTACAAAAACAAAATAGTCCTGAAAGACAGAATCTCTTCAAACGTCAGTCAAGCATAGTGTCTGCTCATTGTTTCAAATATTGAAGGGGCAGGGGGAAGCACCATGTCTAATCAAAACTACAGGAAGAGTTTAGAGAGACAAAAGATAATCATGTAAATTAGAACTGGATTAAATCCCTTAGTAAATCTATCTATCATGCCAAAAGAGGTGATTTAATACTATGTGGTTAAGATTCTGGTTTTGTGCCTTATCCGAAGGAATATCAACAATAGCACATTGTTCTCCTACCACCACACTGGTGTTACTGACTCTGACTTGATTCAGCACAGGCTTGAAGGGAGAGTAGCAGCTTGAGAAGCACTGCTTCCCTAGCATTTGGATTTTCCTCAGGCATCACTCCTTCTGGGCCAGCAGGAGATACAACACAGCCAAGATAACAGGATACCTTTTGTCTCTAAAAAGTGCAGTTTCCTGTTGATAGTATTTCATATTGTTACATTTGTTGTCTCATCCTCTGCTTCCTGTCACACAATCCCTTGCTCATTGAGACCCGACTATACTGAATTGAGTAAGCGTTAGGGCAGGAACGATTTTTTCTACGTGCCCTGCAGAGCATCGGATACACAGTAAAGCTCTGATGCTGACTGGAGCATCTGGGAATTACTGCGTCACAAACCCAAACCAAACATTTGGCCTACAGGAATGAGCCCTTTAAACATTAGTTGCTGTTGCTTATCCTTCTTAATAACAGGCAATAGGGCTAGTATTCGTATTTTTGGCGTACTGTCAACATCTCAGCAGTTGAATTTTTCCCTCTGAGCCTCTCCAACAAGTAGGATCTCTTTGGGTCAAGGGCCTCAAAGCAGGCTACTGGACCTCTCCTTCAGCCTGAGTTGATCCTCATACCCAGAACAAAACATTCAGGAATTACGAGGTGAAGGTTTGAAGGTTCCTTCAACAGTGTTCTTTCCTATGGGACATGTAATAAAAGACATGGGGAATTGCCACAGAAAAATGAGATTTTCCCTAAAATACAGGCCACACATTTTTAGGTATCGTCCGCAGTCAGGCGACACATTGTTCATGGAGTTATCTTCACTGCCAGGTAGTGCCCGACAATCATATGACACTATACACTCACGTACCCCTAAGCTGGAACATCAAAAGAGCCTAAATTAAAAACTGAACCATTCTAGAACTAATACAGGTAAAGCCTCCGAACTGCATTCTCAAGAATCAGCAGACAAAATGCCTGTATTTTTATTAAAACGTGCTTTAAAGCCTAGACATTTTTCAAAAACCTTTCATGACTTCCATCATAGCAGGAAGTGTGAAAATACCAATGAAACAAAAATACAATAAATAAAAACACAGTAAAATAATGCCACGTGGATAAATCTAGGCATTTTGTTTTACCAATTAAAAAATAAGCTAAAAAATCATAACTGAAATGAAATTTCTAAACAAGTGGTTTTAGAGCAGGAAAATTACAGTGTTTCAAAACACACAATTTCAGCAATTTCACAATTTTTCCAATTGGTTGTGATGAACTTTTCATAAGAAAGCTTTTCATTTTTTACAAGATGATCTGACAGAAAATTATTTTTTTGAAAAATTCTCAACCGCTTTCCCTAGAAATATTTTTCAAAACTGTAATACAGGAACTTCATTAATTTTCAAGGCTATGGCTTGACAAAACATTATTATCCAACGTATTGAATAATAATTATCCATTATGCCTATAAGTAGAAGCAATGCTGAACAATAAGAAATGAAAATGTAATATATAAGCTATAACAAAACTGTACACACACAAATTTTAAGTTACAAAACTACACAAAATAGGAGTGAATTTCTGTGTTTACATCTTTTTCTGGTTGTTAAAAATATCCTATTAAAGCTTAGGAAAAGCAGAAGCTTAGTGTAAAAAGGTCATTTTTAAATTTAGAGATCAAAAATACAACAAACGCCTCAGTCCCCTACAGAAAAATAAAGACGTTGAGACTGCCCACATGATGGCTTAATATAATTATGGCCTGTTCCCAAGGGGCTTTTGAGGTTGGTTCCAGGTCCTAACCCTGAAAAAAGATGATATGACAACTGACATATGCACTTGAAACAAAGCTACCTGGCTGCATGTACAGCAACCTGCCTGAATACCTCTGAGGATTTGGGGGCAGCTGGGGAAAGCCCTGATTTTGGCAGCTGGTGGAAAAGCCCAGTGAGAATCCTGAGCTTATCTAAGCCCATCTCAACCTCCTCCTTTGCCTCGTATTATCTACACGGTTTGCCAAGCAGTAGGCACTGCTAAATCTGAACAGGAACTTTATTTCCAGTGAAAAGGGGGAAAAAATACTTAAGGGAATTTTCTTGGAGAAGACGTGATAACTACAACCTGCACTTGACACCATTTGGGTGTGTAATTGTCACTAACTTTCGTTCTAAAATGGCAAAAGGTATGAACCTTATTTCACTGTTCTTTTTTTAAACCAGTTGTAAATATATTCTCTTAATTGCAGTCCCACAAAATATGGTAAAAATATTCCACATACAGAACTAGATTTTGGAATATTTTTATTCGTATAGAAGTCTAATTCACCACAAACTTTCCTTTCCTGACCAAAAGACGTTCTTTAAGCACATAGCTAATTGCAACTGTATATATCTAAATATATGCATTATTTCATACAGTGTTAAACCAAGCATGTAATTGCAAAGGCACAAAAAAGCATTTTGTTTCAGGGGAACTGTCTCGTCTCGGCTTGACCTGCCTGATATGAAGAGACAGAAACCCAAGAAAAAGCCTGAAAGCTGAAAAAGTGATCGAAAGGTAGCAGAACAAGACAGTATGGGGAACTGGCTTTCTTCAGAAAGGCTAACGCTTTCCAGGTTGCCAGCCAAATCAACACTGAAAATCATACACTGCACATCTAGGGTGTACAAAGAATTAAATTTTTATATTGCAAAAAGTTATTTACCTACAGCCGAGCCAAAGATTTATGCTCTTGTAAGGTAAGCAAATGTGATACCATCTGATTTGGAATTAGACACCAAAAGAGCATTTACTGTCATCCTACACTTGTTTAATTTCAATTCATAACTCTCCCTTCTCCTATCCCTGTTTCCTCCTCCCCCACAATCTGCCATACCACATGTATTTTTCAGTGTCACACGTACTGACCTTTTTGTACATACTGACTCCAAATTTCAAAATTAGCTATCAAAGAAAGATTCCCACTATTCCTCATTTGTATGTTCTGCAGTGTAGGCACTAGTTCTAATCCTACAGCTGAGGTATTAACGTATTACGGCCCCAGGTAGCGCGGCTATTATATAGACAGCATACCCTTTACATGTTTTAAATTATAATTTTTAATGACTATTAAGTTGTTATCATTTTAAGGGATGGGTATCCAGACACACCTACTTGTAAATACAGCCACACCAACAAACCAACAACACTATCTGGTTGGCGAGATTTTTTGCAGGAATTAATTACATCTTTCTATTGGGCAATACAGTTTTCTAGCTAAAATACACCAGTTAACAAAAGATTATGGTGCAGAGGGCAGCAGAACCTGAAAGTGAATGGAAGTTTATTTTCCTTTTACATGCAAGCCTTACCAACAGGGTAACAGAAATCTTTACTCATCAATACAGATTGTTCTGGGATGCTGGTCAACTTCTCCAGCATTAGTGCTATAGACCTTTGTAAGAAAGCAAACAACTGTCAAGTGCTAAAGAGAAACACTGCAATTACTGCAACGCGAGGCTGTAGGAACAGCTTATCACCTCTAAAAAACTGGGCTACTTCAACACCTAGAGAGAGGGTACTGATGTCTGGAAGGATGCAAGCTTGGAAGCGCACCATCCTCATTATTTTTGTCTACTTGTAGAATAACGGTTGACAATTCATCTACTTCAACATGGCTTATACAGCTTGATTTATTCAGGTTCAGAAGTAGAAATAGAAGATAGTATTATAACTGTAAAATATTAGCATTATGACCATTACCATACTGATCCTGCTTCATTGAC